AACCATCCACAAAATTGCTTCTCCCTAACCCACCGCCCACTCCAATGCACTCTTCGCTGGTTTCTCTCTTCTTTTTTCCATTATTCGTGCAATCCCCACCCAGCCAGCCATCCCCATCGTTCACCTCTTAAAATTAAATCCCCCAAATCCCATTTTAAGATCCTATCCTCTATAATCCCTTGAACCCAAATCTAGAAAATACCCTAAACCCATAGATCAATCACCATCAAATCATATGAATTCAAAATTATAGAGTAAAAACAAAAGGGATGAACAGAAGGAGCCTTATTCGGGGGCAGAAGTTGTTGTTGGAGACAGCAATGTTGGTGATACAAAAAAAGAATTATAAGGAGAGGTCGACTACGGGGACAATTTGTCGTTTAGGTGACCTAAAATCATTTTCTCTATAAATGCATGACTTATTTTATTGTTAAATTGTTGGCTGAACTCTTAAAAAATTGACAAGAATCTGTCTAGCATACCTCTTCTTGCCTAAGCCTCCCACGGACTCTGTTAGCCTCTTCTTAGTTGATGTAGTTAGAATTAGGGTTTAGCTCTTTGCTTATATATTGGTTCAGAGGATAATTTGGAAGATAATCGTATAGCGTTTAGATAGAATTGAAATGGGCAAGTTAGCATTTTTATTGGTCTAGGAGAGAAAAAAACGCTATTTAACTTATTTTTTCAAAGTGTTTGTGATAAATTTCAATTATTTAAATTGAAAAATAAAAAAATTGATTTTTTTTTTGTTTCAAAATCAGATCTTAAATTAAAACTTAATAATTTAAAATAAAAACATAAATACCCATTAAACATCAATAGTTGTTTATAAAATTTAGTACCACCAAACAACAGTTTGGTTAAGTAAAATTAATTTAAGAATTTTGATTTGAAGTTATAGATAAAAGTGTAAACTTAAAAATATTTAAAGTTTAACACTCAAATGATTTTTATGAAAAATAAAATTAATTATTTTGGCTTTATTTTACCTGGAAAGAGTTACTGTCCAACAGTTGTGGCCATATACTACGGCCACCATCCATCTGTTACGTTTTTTCATTTTGCTCCTGTGAGGCAAATTTAAGTTTTTTCGTTAGCAAATTTACAAATGGTGGATTTTGTTTATTTGTGGCAAATTTTTTGTTAGTTACAAATATTCACCTAATTTATAGTGACTAATATTGTTGTTAGTAATTTATTTATTTTTTTTAAGTTCAGTTGTGGATTAATTGTGACAAAAAATTTTGTTACATCTTGTAATTTTCTTTAGTAACAACACGCATATAGTCACAAAATATATTTGTTACAAATCATAATTTTAGTCACAAGAAAAAAATAATATATGTGACATGAATTTATCATTTGTAACTAATATTTTATAAGGAACTAATAATTATTTTATTATGACAAATTTGGCAATCACAAATTTAAATAGTTTATTGTAACAAATTTATAGTGATTGAATATAATTTTTGTGTCGAAATTATATATTATAATTTTAAAAATTAATATTAGTGATTATTAATAAAAATTAGTCACAAATATAAAGAATATTTGTGACCAACTAAAAATTAGTCACTATTTTCAGTCACAAAACACCCATTTTCTTGTAGTGAAATTTCATAGAACCTATGTGTCTTACGTCGGTAAAATGAATACCGACAAAGTACACATAGATAAGAGGCTATATATATTCCCAGAACTGCCCAGCCCTCTCATTTTGTTTTCGTCTTCCTCTTCTTTCTTCTGCTCCCTTATATGTCTCTCCTTCTTTCCATTAAAATGTTGCTCACTTAAAGGGTCACCAACGCACTTCTTTGATGGGTGCCGAACGGAGGTGGACATGATCAGTCATCGATGGAGCTTGGGTTCACTCAATTGGGTTGATTTTTGCCATGGTGACTTTCAAATTCCCTTCAAGGTGACCTTCAAGACTTGCATTCGACTGGAATGAAGGCGAAGAAGAGCCTTTGGTTCACTGGAGGAGCATTTCCTTCTATGTCACTATATGCCGGATCTAACCAATAGATTTCTTTCAGACAAGCATAGAATAAGCCTTATCCCCATTTTATGTTTTTTTTTTCAATGAACCGCTTGTGTGTAGAGAGCTGTATGGGTTCATTGTGTAAACATAGCATTTAACAGAAATAATATAAATTTCTTTTACAAATTGGTAACCCAATTTTCCAATTAAGTTTTGTCAGTAAATTAAAATTTGGTTCAGACCACAGTTTTGTCCATAATAATTTTTAGACGTAAATTATTAATTATTTTGCAAATTGCTAATTTAAGTTTCAGATAAAGTTCTTGTCGGTAAATGAATGTCTAGGTCTCAATTGTACTTTTGTCAGTGATTATTTATAGATATATATTTTCGTTGGTAATTTACCGACGTGACTGACTTGAAATGGGTTCCGACAGTACGGTTCTTACAGTACGGTTCTTGTAGTCAATTAAAGACATGCTTTTTGTCGGTAATTTGAAGAAAGTTACCGACATGAGTTTAAGTCATGTCGGTGAATTAATTACCGAGCAAGCTTACACCGAGGCGACTATCATCGACATGATTCTTGTTGAAAATGTTTTTTACCGGCAAGATCCCCTTTGTTTTCCGACATGGCTTCTTCTCGGTGATGCTGTGAATTCTTGTAGTGAGATCTCCTCTTCTAGCTATTGTTAGCATGACTATTATTGTAGATTTTTTTACTTATAAAAGTTTAATTGAGTTTATA